ACGAAAGGAGACTGCGACCACACAAAAGGCCACACCATCTTGGTCTTCATATCTTCGGGTAAGCTATTTAGGTTCATAGATCTCAAGTCTAGATTAAGGAAGGATCTAGGTATAGTTCTCAATTTGGATGATTTTCAAAAACTTTAGAGCATGACTACGTTATTTATTTTTCTCGAAACTCCACTTAAAAATACGAAAAATGAAACTTGACGCGAATTTTTAGTACTTCCTTCATTTAGACATGGACAGACTTGTCATTATTCCATCAAGCAACTAGTCGAATATGGCAAATATCTCGACACCACGCCTCATTTTTAGTCTATTCTGAGCTTATTTATAAAATAGTGCTCCTTTGAGAAGAATGAACTATCTCAAATCGTCTGTGAGCACCGTCCCACAGCCAGCCTGGCAACCGTAAAGCTTTGGTGGCTAATGGATTGGCAAAGCGATGACTGGCTTGCTGGATTAGCCTCAATCGCCGGCTTCTCGTCGTCCTCGCGACGATTCGGGAATAACTGATAAGCCTCTAAACGCCAAGTCGCCAAGCGCATGCTTTTGCGCTTGTTTCCGGTGTACGCCCACAAATGGGCCACCTGATGACAAATGGCTACCGGCACCAGTTACCGGACAGACGTTTTTGCTCAGCATTCAGCGTCGCTCGCACATGGCGCACCAAGAAAACCCTCCCCAGACCTGGTTGATTAGGCCACCAAGGCACAATGACGGCTCTCGATCTGTCCTTGATTGTTGCCCAGGTTTGTGTATTTGCATGTGTGTGTGTGTGGGTGTGGGTGTGAGTGTGTGTATTTGTGTATTTGGGTTTGGGGGATTATGCATTTGTGTACATGGGCGCGAACGTATGCATAAATGGGTTGGTTTAAAGGCGTCCAAACGGAATCGCTTCAGCGGTGCTTGTATTAAAATCAGGTCGGTAGGCGACCGGGAGTCAAAAAACAAGCATTTATGCTGGCACGTACGATTCCTGTCTCAGCACACTCGTACACAATGTTTCAGGCCATCGCTTCCATAGGCGAGTACAAAGATTTTGTATACTTTTCGAGAGAGGTGAACCCTGAATTTGCTCTCCGACATCGAGTCCTTTGGTATCTACTCTTTCCAGTGTCTCTTAAGATCAACCTCAGCGGAAGCATCACCAGCGCTATTCACTAGAGAGCGCCGACGATTCCGGTGATCTTCTTGACAATATGCCTTCGTCGGAGTCCATAAACTACTCAGAAATCCGTTAAATTTCCGACAGCATGATGGGCATTAAGAACGTAATTTCTAAAGCTGAGCTCTCTCAACAATGTCCCCTAAACACGAGTCAGGCAAATTAACCAACAATAGACTTGG